GGACCTGCTACACGTGGCACCGGGTGTAGGTGTCTGACTTATTTAGCGTGTCCTAGTTGTCCTGAAAGGCTTCGTGAGCCCAGGTTTTGCGTGGACGCCGCGAATGTAATTCGTGGCTCTGAAGAGGTTACAGGTGTTTGTTCGTGGTGTTTAGTCACGAGAGGAGAGTCATAACCCTTGGCTGAGTTCCCAGCTCTTGCTTGTTGGCTGACCTTGGGCAAATTACTTTTTCTCCGCGTGCTCAAACTGCACATCTGCTGATTTCATACAGGAATTGAGTGCTCTTAGGGATTTGAAAAACTATAGGAATAGAAATGCAAAGTGAAGCTTGAAAACAACGTTGACCTTGTCTTGCGGTACGCTTCGCTGAAGGCCAAAGTCGGGTCTCTATTTTCTTGCAGTAGCTTATCTGGGATGACGGCACTCTTGACGTGCATTTTGCAAAAATGCGTTGGATTGACAAGGCGCTGACACCTGTAACAGGTATCTGCAGAGTCTGTTAGTCGTGGAGCGTCCCACCAGGTTATGCATTTCCCCTCAGCACCGCTCTGCGAGGTGGGACGTTACTATTGCCCCCACTTAGATGGGAAACCGAGGACCAGAGCACTCCAACAACTACCCCAAGGCTGCACGGGAAATCTGCAGCAGAGCAGGAAACCCATCTCGGGTCTCCTCGGTCCCAAGCCAGCAGCTTAACCACCGGACCTTCCTGCCCTCTGGCTCTGCTTTTCTTCGTGTTGTTCAACAGAACCGTTCGCTCTGACTTTGCAAGATGCGTGCTGGACGAGGCTTCTGAACTAAGCGGTTTATAGTTTTAATTCAGTTGTCCTGGGGGCATACTGAAGGGATGGAGACTTCCTGAGCTGCTCTGCAAGGAGACCTTGTTGGAAAATCAAGTTTTGAGACTTTCTGGAAGAGGTGAACAGAAATGTTTGGTAGCCAGAGGGGGAAGGCTTTTCTAGCCTCTGAAGCTTGTAGAAAGAGGAGACAAGAATCAGAGAAGCAGAGATCAGAAAGAGATCATAAAATTGGTGTGGAGGAAGGAGTGGAATTGGGCGCTGCCTTGAAGGTGATGGTTCAGAGCACAAATCTGTCTTGTGACGAAAAGTTGAAGCCTGAAGGTTGAGATTGGCCCAAACGCCTTTCTTGCCTCACGTGAGCAGCGATGGTCTCTGCTCATCGTGCCTTGTTGATGTAGAGTTGTGCTGGAGACAGGCCGTGGGCAGCGCTGCAAGTGGCCACGAGCAATGCGGCATCTTGCACTTAGCAGATTTTGAACCATGTGGGGATTATTTCTTCTTGAGGGAAAGA